AGGGCTGAGCTTCCTTAACATTTTCACCAACGACTTCAGAATAAATACTAGGCGTGCACCGATGACAATGTTGTAAAACACTGTCTATAGACAGTGGGTCAAAATGCAGTAACAATAATTGGATAATTCCAAAGAATGAGAGAGAGAAACAAAATTTAATAATTTAAGAGGGAGGGCAATACATTTTGACACATGAATAGCAATAAACATTTGCTATAAACTGGGAACTCATCAGCTCGAAATGATCAAAACTCTGAAGACTGGGTTGTATTTACTTTTCACAGAATGGCTGTGTGCCCCAAGCATGATATAGATATGAAAAGACAAGTGTTCCTTGAGTATATTAGATTAAGCGTTTCTGGTATAATAGTACTACTAGTACTGTGTAAGGCATCTCATGGGGATGACTGCACAGTTCTGGTCACCAGTGTTCAAAAAGGCAGAATTCAAAATTTAATAGAGAAAGGCTCCTAAGATGATACAAATGAAGAACAGGAGGCTAAAACTCTGAGACGAGGCGATGAAAGCCTAGGTTGTATAAAACAATTGTATAAAAATGCATCATAGGGCGAGGAAGAATTGGAGATGATGAAATGCTAATGAAGGAGGGAACTACCCCTACTTCATTAGGGATATAGGACAAGGTTAGCATGCTAAAAACTAGGAACTAATTTGATTGTAAGGTGATTCCTACACCTATAGAGCAAACAGGACTTGAAATGGCCTTTATATGGGTGAAGCAAGGGGAAGAAAAAGGGAAGAGCAGTGACAAAGACGGACTCAGCCCAGCTGTTAAGAGAGGATGTGGGTACCTTTACGAAGGAGGTATCAGGACGTGGACCTAACAATCCAGTGGTTCTTTTCCAGATCTCTGCTCCAAAATTGCTATCAGGGATATTTGCCCATATCCTCTTCTTTCCATTTAGTTGCACAACAGAGACCAAGAAGGTGCTACGCTGTTGTGCAACTCATTCAGTTTTGTTTGTTCAGTGAAATGAACATGCATGGAGAGCTTTAATCAAGTCCTCTCCAGGTACAATGACTCTCTCCACTTGCCTTCTCAATTTCAATAATGTTTGTAGTGTTCTTCTTTTTAAGTCAGATAGATCCTTCTGAGCCTCGAGGGCATTTACATACTACCCTTCCTTTAGAAACTTGTATGGAATGAGTACGTTAACGATCGATGTCCTTTAAAAAACAGCAAACTGTTGAGTTGCTCCTGACCTTCTATTGTATGGAGTTAACAGTTATTCAGCCTTTGGCAGTCTGTCTGATAGAAAGAAATATTGGGATGACAACTGTGATTTGTCTTTGAGCAATTGCACACTACACAGTAACTATTTGCTCTGATGTTAACCGAATTTATTCTCATTCCTTTTATTAAAACTGATTGGCAGAAGGAGCCCAGTATGTTCAGTTACCACAGACTTTTAAAAATAATGAGTTAAAAGACAACCACCTAATAATTCAAATATTTACAATCTGTCTATTGCCTCAGAAATTAATATCTATGGACAATGACAGATACTGCCCTGTTCGTTTCACAACCATTTACCACTTTAATCCCTAACCCAGTCCCTTTTCTCCATAGCAAGGTAATGCCCTTGTGCTGAAAAATGTATTTACATGTAAGTTTGTATCGCTTCTCTTAGGCAATGACAGCAGCACTAGCAGAGTCCATTACTCCTCAGCCATTTCAAATAGATTTAAATGGGGAAAACCATTCATTTCATAGAAAGAATAAATAAAGTATTTTATTACTCTCTGTGTATGTTAATGGGAGTGTATAAAATATAAGTAAAAAATATGAATTCTGTATAAGGAGGGCCATCTTTTTTGAAGGAGAGAAAACAGGTGAGGGAGGCATGCAAATTTCTATAAGCTGTTCATAGGAAGCTATACAAAATGCATCTGAAGAATGCTATTTGCCTCTGGCCTCAGCATCTAGCAGGTCCAGTTATGTTCAATGTTATCTATAGAAAGAGTTAACTGAAGTTAAATACCGAATAAGATAGGAAAATGTGCCATAGACAAAATTATCTAAAAAGTACTTTCAGGTAGCAAAGTCTTAAAGGCAGCATACGCTGAAATGAAAATGGTTTATACTTAAAAAGAGATTTTCACATATTGATGCTGTGATCATCTCCTTGACAAATTATAAACCTGCTGCAAACTACAAGGGCGTTATATGAGAGTTCTTAGACATAGTTCAAAATTATAATAGTAGGTTTGCTGTTGTTCTCCCCATAATGGCAATGATACTGATTGAACAGATTAGCTACTCCATGAGAATTTCAGCTGTACGTGTTGTAAGGAATGACATGCTGAACCCTGTATAATTGTCATTGCGAATGTAATTTTTATTGAAAAAAGCTGTTCTATATTCATAATAGTACGACGACATGGGAGTGCTAAATAAAATGTCATCCTGACTGCAAACAAATCCTGTTGATGCAAGTGCTGCTTATACCACTGTGTCTGCCCTTAAGAAAGTAACCGTCTTCTGGGAAAGCATTCAGAGTCTTGTTCAATTGAGACTGTGAAAATGAGAGCACTTGGGGAATAGACCTGGGAACCTGGCAACCACACTGCTGAAAAAGGATTCTCTCAAGAAAAAGAATTTGCATGTTCACCTCTGTATTACCTAACAAGGACACTCCCGCAATTCAAGATTCTGTATACAGTATCTAGTGCACGAGTTAAAGGGTAAATAATAGTTATCAAGAAATAGTTTTTCCTTATTTTCCATGACAATGCAATATATGGTATTAGGGCTAAGCATACTGTACATACTGTACATCAAGTTCATGATGAAATCTGTAGGAGTTTAGCTAGCTGCACCAACAGGAACAGGATTTAGCCCTGTTAGCCATGCTAAAATATAATTTTATTGGGATTCCTTTCAGCTGGTTCATCTTTTGCATCAAAGAAATGGGTTAAATGGGACACACAATTCTGGTGGAACACAGTCTATTTACTACTTTCAATAAAAGTAATTTTTCTGAGTTGTCTGATTAATTTTCAGCTGCATTTTTAGTCAGAAGCGGAAATTTAATTAAGCAATTAAATTACAAACACAGCCTATAAACCTCTAGCTTCACCTAACTCACACAGTGAATTTCCATTTACTCACTTTATGCGATAGGCTTTCCTTCCATCCATTCTGTAATATAGTTATTTGCCAGGTCACTTAAGGGACAGCTTTACTATCCTATCTTAAGAACATGGCAATAGTTTCTTTGAAAGCGTGCATAAACCTAATGTAAAATGACTGAAATCAGGTACACTTTTTTTTTTCTGTGCTTGTAACTGTATGTCATCTGTGCTTAATGGTCTATATTTCTGACATAATGAGCCTGAGAAAAAATAAGAATAGCAAGCATGTGGCACAAAGAAGATTTGTACTTGAGGTGAGGCACATTATATAAAAGTGTACAGCTGAGGTTTTAGAGCGCAAAGGTCAAAGGACACAAACTCTAAAATTAGTTTTCTCATTTCACAAGTTAATTTCGACATTTTTCTGAATTTCTAATTTGAAGAGATATTTTCTTCGATACCTACAGGCGTAAAAATACTAAATGGAATATTTGTGCTATCTATCTTTAGGTACCTTACCTAGTAGGGAAACTTTCTTGGGGTACCTATGTATTTGATGGTGTGAGATAGGTCCTTTCACAGAGAAATTGTTGAAGGAGCCTCCAAGCGCTCTGAATCACCTGCTTAATAAACCTCTCCCTGATGATCAGAGCAGGTTGGGAGATTACCTGATCAATGTGAGCTTGTATCAACTCATTCTAACAGGCTGCGACATGAATGCCCATACCACCACTGCACCGTCTGCTCTCTTTTTTAACAATTCCAAACAGAGCTCTTCTACTTCCAGGGCATTTAAAGCTTTCACATGAAAACCAGTGAAAGTTTTGGGAACCAGTGGAATTTTTTGAATCTTCAGTTATGAATACTGACTTTAAAAAAAGTTATTATAATTTGCTAGTATTTTTTGCTTGTTTACAGGCTAAGGAAGCCAGTAAGCTCCTCCAAAAATGGACCATCTTTCTCCCTTCAAGCCCCTCATTGGCAAGCAGCTCCATTTTGAAGTACTTTCATGCAACCTTTAAAACCATCACCCCAGTCTGTCTTTCCAGATCGAAAATTATTTCATCCTGAGAAAGTTACCAACTCAATGCCCCTTCCCATAACTGTGGTTAATATTTATGGAAACACCACAAAGCATCATCAGGCTTCCATTGGGTCTGTGTGTACTTCTTTAAAAAAGGTAAGACAAAGTAGTGCGTGCATCTATTTCAAAGCATATATATATGCACAATCCCTCATACTTCTATGCAGCCAATATCACTCAGCCACAAATACTACTTCAGCTATGCTCTTTTTATGATCACTTTGTTAAATATTTGGATATAAGCATTCAAAAAACTTCTCTGCACTATTGGAGAATATACAACATATCAGCTTCATGAAATTAGGAATACAAAGAACTACCATCCTCCCAAAACTCTGCTGTAATTAGAAAAATAAACATATCACTAAACAAAGCCATAACAGAGAAATGTAAAACCAGCTTTACGAAATTAGTTCTCCTATCAAGATCTTCATCAATAAATCCAGCAGTCCCATTAAAAAATGGAGATCATTTTTGCTGATGACTATGAAATTACATTTCTCTAAATACACAGACTGACTTTGAATTGAACAGCCAAACTTTCCTGCATCACTTAGTTACACTTCTTTCACAGAAACTACAATTTGCATTATATTCCAAATTATAAAATTATCTAAATTGCTAATAAATATGTGCATCATAGTTAAGTATCAGTGTAAATGAAGAATGCATGGACTATACTATATCAATATTAATTTTAATGTTCACTCCTGTTCTGGTCAATATCTTAGTATTGTTGAAATCAACAGAAATAATAAAACAACAGACACAACATACTACATCTGTACTACATGCAGACATGCACACAAATAGTAATCACCTGAGTCCTTTTCTGCTGTTGCTAAACATAAAAAAACAAAAAAAGAGAGAAGAAAAACATCATTACAGAAATGTAACTATTTTAATTTCATTAGAGTAGACTAAATGCCAAATAAGGAGTTAAAATCTTCTTAAAATCTTAAGTATAGCAGTGAGAGTCCTGACAGTCAGCTCATCCAAGTGATGGGTTTTGTCCGCTGAGAGACAAATGGTGTATGTGTTTAGGTAGTATATTTTTATTTACTAGTTCTATATAGTCTCTATTTCAGGCTCACTGGCTGAGTTTGCATCCATACTGTGCCTGGGAATTTAGAAACATGAATAATAGTAAATGAATATAAGAATGTAAGAATATAAGAATACTATTTTTGTTAGAGCCCTCTTTGCATCTCTACTTTTTAGGTAGTTACTATTGGTCTATAGCTGATATTATCATGCAATAGTTGCATTTTGACTGACTGATATGATGTTGTTCACTGAAGAAATATTCAAAGAATAGGACAAAAATCCCGAAAATGTATGACAGCTACATTTGAAGACATCAGTAATGTTATAAAGATGATGACTATATGCTTTCTGTATGCAATTTGAGGAGTAAGCAACTAATGCAAACACTAACATGAATTACTTTCAAGAGAAGAACGTAATTTCAGTGCACAGATACAATAATGCTCCCATAAACCTAAAGAAGCAGAATGGAACCCATTGCTGAAAACTATTACATTTATATTGGTAAAAATGTAGGATATTTGTAATGACCAGAGTATAGAAAGAGACCAATACAAATCTCATTGCTACCGAAAACCAATGTGTTTAATTTTCTGATGTTATGATGTTGGAGACCTTCACTTCCAAATAGTGCTCTATTCTCAGAAAAGTACTCAAACTATTTCTTGTTGTGGTCCTACACTTCTATATGCAATTATCTATACTACTTACAGAAATCTAGCTGTGTTTCAATCAAAAGACAATAAATCCAAAAAGAAATTTGCAAGTCAAAATATGCCATGAGATGGACGGCAGTTTTATGTGCTGTTCCAGCTTACTGCAGTGTTAACAGTGTGCATATTTTAAAGTGCAAAATTTGCTACTTGCAATGGAACTGCCACAATTGTCTAGGATATACTTAAAAATCCTGGGCAAAGGTGTATTTACATCACTGTAAAAAACTTTTCCAATCCAATTTAGTGTCAGTGAGTTTAGGTATCTTTTGCATGCTTTTCTCATCTTTTAAAAATGTTTCTATTTTTATACCCATTATTTCAACAGGTTTGCTAAAAGACTGAAATATTGAACATTAAAAAATCCCCTTTATGAATACAGAAAGATAAAAACTAATGAAAATAGTTATTTTTGCTTTTTCATTTTCCAGAATAGATTTAATATTCATCCTTCTTTCTTTAACACAACATGATATCATAATTAATTATGATAAACTGGTTACTAAGATGGTTTCATGTTGTTACTCCCATGATATAATACTGGTTGCTATAGTGATGAGATGGGTTTTTTGTTAATCACTTGTGAGATTGGTTAACTCATGTTTTTCAGAGAATTTGAGCAGAAATGGAAAAAGGAAAAAAAGTTGGTTTCATAATATTGCTAAACATATGAGGCTTCTTCATTTTGTTGCTATGATAACTCTATTTCTTCTAGTGTACTGCTAGAAATACATGCTACGGGAAAACATACTATGCATAAAAATGGGATTTTTTTAAAGCAGAATTCATCTTCATATATTTTCCTCTTAATTGACTCTACCTCCAAAAGAACAGTTATACAGATGCACACACACTGTTTTCTATTCCTGAATATATCTGTACAGCTATACCTCAAGCTTTCTGCACTTTATGGAGAATAACAGATGTGTCTTGACAAGGCATTTGACTATTATGACTTCCTTTTTGTTCTACGTAAGGTTTACAAACACTGTGTTTCCCAGCCAATTTTTTTGAGCAAAATATTAGTTAATTTCATGGCATACTTTCTACAACATACATAAATTCAAGAAAAAATGCTGTTTACCATCAGATCTAGTATTTTGTCCTGTTAGTTCATTCAGGAAATCAGGATGTAATTAAGTTTTTAATCATCAGATTATTATTATACATCTGACAACACAACAGCAAAAATTAACACTTATCTATCTGTCTGCCTTATACATACATCAGAAAGGCATCTATACCGAGAGGTTTCAAGTTTCAAGGTACTGTTACTGCTGATATGGAAAGAATTTCCTGTCAGTAATTTAATTACTAGAAATAGTTAGAGAAATAAAAAATAACCCATAAACAACCTTTTAGATTTATGGAGAACTCAAAAGTAAGAACAAAGGGCAACTTAAATTAAGAAGTCCTAGTCTTCCATTCAAACAGGGTCCCAGGAGGCATATTAAAGCAATGAATAGGAAAAAGCTCCATAGTTCACCAGCTGAGATTTTAATGAGACATTTCCCCTTGCTGTGGTAGGGGTTTGTTGAGGAAAGGGAAAAGGCTGCTCACAGAATATTCAGTTAATAGGCATTGTTGGCTTTTACAGCCACTTTGGCTGTTGATTGCTGTACTAACCTTCTATTTTGGCATATTCTGTAAGTCGAGTGTAATTGATCAAGGCAGCCTTCTCCAGACATTTTCTAACCACTTTCTTCACCTCTTCTGCTGGTATGGGAGTGGCAATATCTTTCATTAAAACCTGTGTCAGAGACAATTATACCGCTTGGTTACACTCATTACCTAAAACCCAAGGGAAAAGGATAAAAGCATCCTAAAGGTACTACAGATCTGATAATGATTAAAGGCAGAAATCAAAAAGGAACTACTTCAGCCAGTGGAACTACCTATTTGTCTTTGAAGGTTTCTGTTCAACCCTGGTTTGACTGCCTATATGGTATTTATATACAATATCCCTACTGTTTAGCATCTTGCAGCATGCCAGGCAGTTTTCAATTGGGTGACACCAAGACCAGTATAACAAGAGCATTCTGTGGATGGGCTGGATCATGGTGCCCACTAAAGATGTGGATGTGGAAATTTGCTTCGTTCTCACCTGTGGAAAAGCTTCCACTATTGCATAACCATTGACTCTTCAACAGTGTAAAGGAGAAACTGTGAACACCACCATCAGAGCTAGCTAATACCGACTTGCTTTTCTTCCTTCATAAAGTTATTCAAATTCAGCATGCCCTTGCTGTGAAAAACAGTCATCTATAGTAGGCAGGGAAAACATTGAACTTCTGGTGGAATATTTTGTTATCAACAAGTAGAAGAACAGATCATACAAAGCTTTTCAAAACCTGCCAGTTTTTAAAGCCTATTCATTTTTAAAATATAGGACTTTGATAAAATGGATGACCTGTTGCAAGTGAGGTAAACTGAGAATATATATCTCTTTATATGAATGCAACATTATATACTCTGGATTACTGAAAAAAAAAAAAGGAATAAATATTGTTAATAATTCATTTGCATTTTTACTTTAATCCCATGCTCCATTAACTTTCAACAGGTAGGTGTAAACAAAACTCAATATGTTTTTACCACATTTTAATGTAAATAATAACATTTCAGATAACTCACAACCTTTTAAAAACGCTTCTCCAATGGATGCCCAGACAAGCTTACAAAACATATCTAAAAATTACTGTTAAGGGGAGGGAGATATGGTCTGGGGAAGGATACGCTAGAAAAGAAACAGGTTCAGCAACAGAGAAGCTATTAGGAAGACATTGTTGCAGAGCAGACTTAGAATCATAGAATCATAGAATCATAGAATCATTAAGGTTGGAAAAGACCTCTAAGATTATCGAGTCCAACCATCAACCCAACACCACCGTGCCCACTAAACCACGTCCCTAAGCGCCTCATCTACACGTCTTCTAAATACTTCCAGGGATGGTGACTCCACCACTTCCCTGGGCAGCCTCTTCCAAGGCCTGACCACTCTTTCAGTAAAGAAATTTTGCGTAATGTCCAATCTAAACCTCCCTTGGCGCAACTTGAGGCCATTTCCTCTCGTCCTATCACTTGTTACTTGGGAGAAGAGACCAACCCCCACCTCGCTACAACCTCCTTTCAGGTAGTTGTAGAGCGCGATGAGGTCTCCCCTCAGCCTCCTCTTCTCCAGACTAAACAACCCCAGTTCCCTCAGCCGCTCCTCAGACGACTTGTGCTCCAGACCCTTCACCAGCTTCGTTGCCCTTCTCTGGACACGCTCCAGCACCTCAATGTCCTTCTTGTAGTGAGACTGGACTTCTTCCATTACTTGCACACACATATATCTACCTTTGTTAATTTGCTTCTTTCTAATGAATAACTTCTGGGTTATCAACAAGTGAAAATACAGTATTCAAAAATTTTTATTCTGGATCTGTTTTTTTTTTTTTCCTCCCAAATATTTCAAAGACAGGTAAAATAAAATAAAATGTTTCTATAAACCATTCTGCATCCACAAGTATAGGCACACACATTTATTCCCAGTCAAGAGTGACAATGGTGTTGCTTGAGCACCAGATAGAGTACCATTACCATTTGTAACAGCAGGAACAGTGAGAGGAAATGGCTGTTTCATATAACACAAAGGAATCTACATAGCACCACAATCACTGAGATTGTAAATGAAAGAAAACATATATACCCAGACTCTCTACGTGTTTTTGAACATGGCAGAGGTTTTCTAAGACAGAATCTCTATCCATGGAGTGTTCTGCAGTGCAGAACTGACACTCCCCGGGACCAGACCTCTCAGGTTTTGGCAAAGCTACACAGATTGGGATCTTTTTTTGAACTCACACCTTCATTGGGCGCCTGCTGATACAATTCCTCTGGAATCTCTGCTGGAATTTAAAGTTCTCTTTCCTCAGAGATGACTGAGATGATTTTACCATTATGAGGTCTTCTCCCTTGCAGTCAATACAAGAGGATTTGCTGGGCAGGAGTTTACATTTATAGCTGCCCATGTCAGTTTTGCTGCATATAGCTTTTTCTTCTTAAATTGACTCAGATTATGCATTTATGGAAGATTATTTGGATTATATAGGAGATTTTTAATGTTACATATCAGTATAGACAACATCAGCAGCATAGAAGCCACAGAAAGCAGGAACGGGGGTGTGTGGAGTAGACTTCTATTACTTTAGAGGTAATGCTGGGTAATCATTAAATTATAAAGAAACAGAGCGTCACTACAGTGGCTTGAAGTGAAAGTCCAATAAATAAGTCCTGCAGAAAACAGCTGTTTGCCTGTGTGGAAGATGCTGAGAAAAAAAACTCCAAGTGAACAATTAAAACCAGCAGTAGAATACCTGAGAAGACATAAGTCTGCTTTCAGTAGCCTGAATGCAAAAGAAAAACACAGGCTTAGTACTCAAGCAGAATTTAAAGTATGTTCTCAAACTTACCCTTTCAAGTAATGAAAGCGTGGCTTTTAAAGCTCCTTCAGGCCGTCCAAAAGGGAAACAGTATCTTAAAAAGTAAAAAAAAAAAAGAAAAAAAGAGGAAGAGAAAATGATCAGAATTATAATACCTAAGTTCAGAATTTACTTTGAGATGTAAATGTACACAACTTGCATTAAATTATGTTAGCAGAAGACTACCATACATGAAATACCAATGAAAGCAGAAGGCCTCTTCAGTAGTCTACCAAGAAGCGTATACATAGTACAGCAGTATCAGCCCACCAGCAGCTCAGGCCTAAATACAAAAAAAATACAAAAGGCAAAAAGCCTCACTTCCACTTTCTCAACTATGAAGGATATTTAATGGTCTCTGATGAGCTTAATTGTCACCTTCCTGGAAAGAGGTACTATTTCTCATGTAGCCATGACAGCTACTGGAGCTGTGAAGTATATCCTATCTTGTTGTAATATTGGATTACGAGAAGGATAAAATATCAGATATTTAAGTTTCTAGAGATATAGGGGAATAAAAATGCCTGCAGATATTCCATAATTTTTCCTATTATATTATAAATAGCTTGGAAAAGCATTTTATGTTATCTTAAATTTTATCAGCTACAACTTAAACCATACCCACTTCTGTCTCGATACTTCTAAAATGATGTAAATTAAAAAGTGATCCCATTCATAGCTTTGTTTTTCATTTTTGTCTGCTGAATGATCCAATATATCAGCTCAATGAGACTACAATGCTCAGGCAATTGTAAATTCTCTTAATCCTGTCTATAAAATCTTGCTGGGATATCCCCAATTGGAAAAAGGATTTTTTACTTTGCTGTGATTATGTTTTTCTTATTATTACTCACTGAGAATGGTAGCCTCATGTTCTAATGTTTTCCAATAGTCAAATCTTTTCTAATGATAAAAGGATTCAGACCAGTGAATTTTAGATATACATTTTGGTCAGCCAAAATAAAGCCCTGTAAATGAGGTCAAAAAAGGATTTCCTGCAGCAAGAATTCCTGTATTTGCTTTGCCTCATTTTGTTTCTTTCTTATTGTAGTGCTAACAATTTCTGGGGACAGGTTAACAAACTAGCAAAGCAGATCTAATGACTTTTAGGCATTAAGTCATCTTAAAACAGAACATATCTTTAGGTGTTTTGTCTCCTCCTCCCTTTTCAGTATTTTTCCACAATCCTTGACTTGTCTTTCCCACTGTTTATTCCTATCAACCTATCAATGAGTGAATAAATGTCACTCATTTCTTGATTATACTTAATATTTCAAATCAAAGACTTCCTTCCAGGTATGTTCTGCAATGTAAATAATATAACAAGCTTCCAAAACCCAACCAGTTTTAAGTTCATGATGCAGACAGAAATCCCACGGTAGAAGAGGGGTTACTCAGTTTATGGCAGAGACAATATGTATGAGTACAACATGGGCAGCAAGCTTATGTGTGCAATTGGTGCAAGGAGCTTCTGACAGAGAAGAGTTCTTTTCTTGAGATAAGCAGCTTAAAGAAAAGGAAATTTTCACAGTAGAGGCCTAAAGGGACACTCAGCAGTCCCGCCTCTGTACTGCTGAGAAGGCAGGGAAGCAGCATCTTGCTGGCAAGGAGAAATTCAGTCTCTTGGATAAAACCCCCATGGCAGCTGATTTCACACTGTCCAGCTATGAGAAGGATGCTCCCACAGCTGAGGGGATCTTTAAGGATAGGGAGACATAGATGGTGACAGTGGTCAACTCAATTATTACACATATGGACAACTGGGTCTGTGACATCCAAGATGACCAAGCAGTAAGTTAGTTGCTGGGTACAAAGGTAGTGGACCTCAGGAGATGTTTATATAAGCTACCTAGGGGAGAACAGAGAAGGAGCAGCACTCATGGTCTACATTAATACCAGCAACACATGGAAGTGTAGAAACATAGAATCATAGAATCTTTAAGGTTGGA